CTCTGCTATATATGGCAGGGTAGGAAGTTTCTAGTGACCATGGTTATACACTCTCTATGAACAAACTCACATCTCATCCCCCCTACTCAACATTTCATTTTGGATTCGGTGCACGAGCAATGCAGACACTTTTCATTCACTAGACGTAGAACATTTTGTCTAAACCAATATAAACTCTTATGCCCTATAGGCTACCATCTGATTCATTGTGCGTGACACCAAAAGCACTCATCGATGGTATGAAACACCGACACACCCTATGATTCTTCTTGTGTTAGCTATGGTTTTCGAAAAGTAGCTTATAGATCATGGATAATGGAAATTTATAATCTAAAAGTTAAAACAAATATGCCCTATCTAGATTCTAGGTGTTTGATCATTGTTTCTAGGATGCATTTAAGGCAACAATGATCAAACTGTAAAATTTTGCGAGACAATGGATCGTTGGACTGTGGAATCTAGACAAGTTGGATTATTGTTTTGATTTTTTTTAAAGAATGGTAAGAGCACCACTAAAAGGTTGCTGGGTATGTTTAGTTTTTCACCTAAACATGCCATGTATTATCCAAGGCAAATTTTTACGCCAAATTGGTGGCTATGGTTGTGGCCAACTTTTTTTGGAACTAAAAAAATTCTGGCCAACTTTAGCCACTAAAATGAACTAAAATAGGCAAATGGCAGGGATGTCGAACCAAAATTTAGAACCCAACCAAATTAAGGCTAATTTTAATTAAAATAACTAAGATTTGGTCTGACATTCTTTGGCACGCATGAGTAAACAACCAAACACAACATAAATCTACTCCCCAAAGTGGCTTTTGGCCAAAAAAACACAGATACAAAACACAGTCCTCCAAAACATGAAGAGATGATGTTGCTATTTATGCGCTGTGGAAAAATGCCCTCGCATTCCTCAAATTTTCAGATGTGGAGTGCCTTTCCAATCCTCGCTTGGCCACTGGTTTTTCCTCGCCTGGGTTTGCATAGCTGGTGGGTGCCTATTGCTAGATCGGCAATGGTTAGTCACACGAAGAAAACCCGGGAAAATCAACCATGAAACAAAGATGATACTACGATAAAATCAACAATAAGGTGGCCATAATTTCTTTTTTTTTCAAAACCTTATTTTTGAAATTGTTAAAACCGTCTTTTTTCAATTAGTAGTGATTGAGACCTTTCTATATCATACAATTGGTGAGTTGTATAAAAACTCAAACCTGTGGGGGCATTGCATGAAGAAGACCTTCTTACATAGGTCCCCTAAACCCCTTTTCCACCTATACACAATGACAGCCTAACCCATATGAGAACGATCATGATCGGTACCGGATCTTAGACATGTGCTTTAGTATGTGACAAATAAGGAGATTTTTTTTAACCCAACCTAAAAATTCACTCTCAGGTCGTGTTATACCATACTTGCATTTTTGTGATATGTTAACATTGAAAAGAAATGATACAAGCATGGGGGTTGAAAAGTAATGATACAAGCATGGGGATAGCATAAAGGGAGTAAGCATAGATCAATTGGTTTTGATGGGAAATATGGCTGTACATCAAAGTTACCAAGTTTGAGTCCTCTTTACTTGAGTTCATTTATATTTTAATGGCATGCCAACGTTGAAAAACATGATACAAACATGTGTTAGGGTCATGTTTGGTTTAGCTTCTAGAAAATGCTAAAACACATAACACCAACTAAACGGGTGCAACCTTAAGCTGCTATTTTAAAAGAAGCTGCTTTCATGCAGTACAATTTTCATAGCATCATGTACCTTGCTTTTGGTTTTGGCTTTCTGTTTTTCTAAATAGGTGAAAATAGCACTGCTATTTTAAGGAGGATAGAGAGCGATAGATTTCATAGTTATTTTAACTAAACAATTTACAACTACTCCATATCACATAGCTCAAAAAAAATTCCATAGCCCATAGCTCATAACAACATTTTCACAGCTCATAACTAAACTAAGCAGACCCAAAGACTTGTCTGGCAGGGCTTAGGAGTGTTGCTCCATCACGGCTCATAGGTAAAGCCTAAAAAAAATTGGCTTCATCACTTTCGCTTGTCCCACAATTTATTTTGGGTTGAGCCAAGGCCGCTGCCTTTGGTTGGTAGGGCTTCAAAGCCGGCTTTAGTTTCGGCTTCTTGAGAAACTATACCAAATAGCCAAGGAGAGCAACTTCATGCATGAAACACAAACGAGCTTTATGTTTTCATTTCTCTCATCTAATAAAAATCCGGCAACTGCCATTTGAAAAAGAAATAAAAAAGGAGCTAAAACAATTTTTGTATTGCACGTAGGAGCTGAAAAAAAGTGGCTTCTCTCGTGCCTCCTCTGTCCCTCTAAGCATGAAAAGTCCTAAAATTACTATATTTTTACTGATAAGCTATTTTATTAAATTAAATATTTTTTCAAAAAGTTTTAGCCCTATCAGAGAAGAAGTTTCTCCCTTGAGAGGAGCTAGTGTGTACCCAACAGTCTTCGTAGTAGGCCACTGTAACTCGCTGGAAAACATACTACCGCTGAATCAAGCTGAGAGCTGGGAACTGGAACATGCTATTCTCGTGATTCAATGTACGACGTTTCAAGGATTTGGGCCTTGATTAGATTGTAGTTTTTTCACTTCTCTCTTCATCACATCAAATTTTTGATACATGTATGAAGTATTAAATATAGATAAAAAATAACTAATTATATAGTTTAATTATAAATTACGAGACAAATCTTTTAAGTCTAATTAGATTATGATTGGATAATAATTATCAAATACAAACGAAAGTGTTACAGTACCAAATACTGATTTCTAACCCCAATCTAAACACAGCCTTTTTACATTATATCTGACTGTGATTAGAGCTACACTGATGTCTGAGCTCTGAACCTATGCAGTATACTCTTGGGACCTCTGCCTCCATAACACTGTACCATTACTGCGTCCCAGTAGATGTTACTGACCCCCTGTCGAGCTCGCCCGCCATGCTGCAAGGAACTGAAGAAGGAAGTACGAACACAGTTCGGCGTACTTGTTGGAATCATGGCGTGCAGTCCGTTGGTTTGATTTTATTTGGTTTATAAGTCGTGATCTATTAGCTTATAAATAGTATTTTTTTCTCGTATCTATAAATCAGGGACTTTTAGCCGGACAGGGCAATGATTGCTTCACCCTCACGAACTCGACTGAAGAATTCATGCTCCCACCTGGCATTTGGTCGCTGCGTGTCGCAGAGGGTGGCCGTTTGGTGGGTGTGTCGAGAGTACTAGCGAGCAATGAAAGGCAGAGCAGCCAGGGAGCACGCATCGGTTTGGTGGTTTTCAGTTTTCACTCGCCCAAAGATCGTTTCCTGCCTCTTTCTTGTTGGACTCTTGCGAGCTGGACGCAAGCCACAGCCAGCGTCTATATATCTATCCGATTTCTATTTATTTTTAGCCTTCAGGGCTACGTTTTTGACAACTGCGTCGCCGTGGAAAGTGCGGGTCCCTCTCGTCGCCCCAGTGCCAGTAATCCAGAAACCTAGCTGCTACGGCATTGGCCGCTTTTTGAGTTGTGGCTTGCGAGTGCCACTTTCGGCAAGCGTGCGCCGCTTGGCTGATAAGCCATGGTCAAAAGTATGGTTGGCTTATTTGTCGTGAAAGAAAAATACCGTTTATTCGTATGGAAGCGAACAGGGCGCTTGTCTGGCACTGCTTGGTCGAGCTCTCTAGTCTTGAGATACGCTGAAGTCAGTTTCTGCAGCTTGCGTATCCTATACTTGTTTTATGTACAGCAGGGGGTATGATGATACATTCATTCAGCCTATACATTCCCTGTGCTGTAACTGTAGTAACTCTTTAAGTGGGCACGCACGCAGAGGCAGCAGATCGCCGTGAGCGTGATGAGTCGCCCGCCCACTTTGGTGGTGTCGATTTGCCGCCGGAATGATCACCGCCCTAATAGACATTCATGATGGCATGAGCATCATATGAAGGATTGATTGATTCCGCAACTCGTGGTTCATGACCCTACCCTACTGCATTTATGCGAGGCCCACTGGCCCACCGTCCCACGGTGGCACGGCACGGTGCAGCGCCACCGCAAATTAGATGAATCCTGCTAATAAATCTGCCCACAAGTGAACCACACACGCATGCTTATTTCACTAGAGGCCTCAAAGCACTTGTGATTTTGGCTTTTAATATACTAGGCGCCATCACTGCAGTCCGCTAGGCATCATTCAGAGTCTCATGCCACGCACCACTTTCTTGACAGGTAGATTAATCTGTCTCTGTATGCTCGTCTCAAATGCGGTTCGTGACAATCAGGTGGTAGTGGTTTCATGTTGGTGCTGCTAAGGGAAGGAAGCGTGCCCGCATTAGCCGTCATCACTGCTGCCTTTCGTCAAAAGAATGCAGAAAATAGGGTAGATCTGATCCTTGTGGTTATGGCGCTGAAAATGTACCCTGGGCTCCGAAAGCTGGTGTTGAAAAAGTTCGCGCTACTGGAAGATGACAGACAGCTTGGGGCTTGAGCGCTTGGTACCCTAGAGGATTTCTAAAGACGTGTACATTAATCATGCTCTTCGCGAGGAAATGTCATCACATTTCCACAGCAGGCCAGTGCATAAAATTCAGTTGCGTTTGCGTACCCATAATCATCATCACTCTTGCGGTCATGCTAAACACAACTGCAATTTCAAGCTCCACTGATGTAAATGATCTCGCCTTTCGGTAGGCAAGTGTATCTCAGTTCCTTTTCCCCACGTTCCTATGATTTACACACACTTAAACAGTGCCTTCTCACAATTGAGGCGAGTATAACACTTTAGCACCAAAACTTTTCATAATACAGACGACAGCAATCAACACTTGGATGCAAAATAGAACTAACCTACACCACCCGTCCAGATCATGGTGCAAAAGCCCACATGCGAGATAGACAGAGGAAACCCGCATCAGGCAACCCACGTTTGCAACACCAGAAACACATCGACCGCGGCACGACACCAGCTTACCGATGGTGAATCAGCAGATGACTGTGTTGCAGTTGTTGGTGTTGACGATCTCGGTTCCTCCGACGAATGGGTCGATCTTGACCCAGAGGAGGGAGAAGACGGAGGCGAGGAGGACGGACCAGAGCACCACGATGGTGGGCGTGCGGTTCTGGCGGCCCATGAGACCCTTGAGGAACGGGTACAGGTGCATGATCACCCACATGGCGAAGAACACCTTGCCAAAGAGCGGGCCCCAGGACTCGTAGCCGCTGTTGAGCGCGGCCGAGAAGCCAGCCACCACGCCCACCAGGTTGAGCACCAGGATGCTGGTGGGCGGGATCAGCACCGTCGTCCACTTGAACACGTACAGCTCCCCGAACTCGGCGTCGTCCGTGGCCTTCGCCGTGACCGTGAAGTTGGTGTCCAGCCCGGCAATCATCTTGAGAATACCCTGGAACACGGCGAACAGGTGGGCGGACACGCCTCCGATGACCCAGAACTGCTCGTTGCGCCACCAGTCCTCAATCCCGATGCCACTCCACCGCAGCTCCAACACGCTCGTCAAGATGATGGACATGAAGAGGCCAAGAAACCATATCGTTGCAGCGTTGGACAGCTGAAAGAAAGAACGGCAAATGAGCATTGTGGCCATATGAATTACGGTGCCAGGTGTACGTGCTGAGAGCAACTTACCGTAGGAATAATGAACTTTCCTGTGAGCAGGCAAATGGCAGGCAAGCAACAGTAGGCAACGAGAGGAAGAGAAGTGAACGGGTACACGATGGTGTTGATGTAGGACAGCCTCTGGAGCCATTTCAGACGGCCGCCACCGTAACCGTACCACAGCGGGCAGTGCCGACTGAGGAAGATCTCGACAGAACCAAGAGCCCACCGGAGAACCTGGTGAAGACGATCGGAAAGATTGATAGGGGCTGATCCCTTGAATGCAGGTCTCACCGGCATGCAGTAGATGGATCTCCAGCCACGGCAGTGCATCTTAAACCCAGTCAGAATATCCTCTGTAACTGAACCATAGATCCAGCCAATCTGAAAGAAATTAAAAAAAAAACGAAACAACAAGTCAGGCCTCACGAACAGGGCAAAAGGATCTGGCATCATCAAGGCATGTATCTGACGTTATAGGTAGATAACAAAAGACAAGAATGCACACCTCTTTTCCCCATTCAGTTTTCTCTTCATATCCGCAGCTAATGACATGAATGGCTTCTTTAATTAGGGTAGATGGGTTTGCAGATTCAGGGACGCCCCCATTCTCCATAAGAGTTGATTCAATAAAGACTGAGGACAGCCCAAAAGATTTCTCGAAGCTCATCTGAGAGATCAGCATGGACCTCTCATGCTCATCGTAGTCTGCAAAAACAACCATAGTGTAATGAACATGCTATTTTTCTTTCAGGTTAGAACTTCTGACAGACCAGATTCGCGCACTTACTGTCAATTTCGCGAAGGTTAAAAATGGCAGACTCAAGGTCTTCTCGCCGAGAGTCTCTGTTGATTTCCCTCTCACTTCTTTCAACCTTTTTCTTGGGACAGCAGCAGCAACACCACGAACAAACTGAAGACTTCGGAAGTGCGGGCAGAGATGGAGGTCCATAACCATAAAGTGCCTGCCTATAGAAACAACAACCAGTTCCCACATAAACTGGGCCTTGGATGCCATCAAGTCCTTTCATATTAACCTATCCAATGTAAGAATGGACATATAAGTTGTGTGAAGATAACTAAGATGCAACACTATGTCACCAGCTAAAGCACTTACATCAAAGAACACAACGTTCCTATTGGCATATCGATCACTGCGATCAATGCCATCAAACCTCTGGGGGAATTGTACATAGCAGATATCTCTGCCAACAGTAGGGTCCATCATGAAGCACATTGCTTCACGAACGGCTTTGCTGTTGTTAACATAGTGATCACAGTCAAGATTAAGAATGTAAGGAGCATTTGTCAGAACAGCGGACACTCGGACCTGCCAAATTAGAAAGTTTATCATTTAGCTCATGTTCAAACAATCTTGACATAGAATGAACTATACTACAATTAGTACTGAAGAATATTGTACCAGAGCATTCATAGCCCCTGCCTTCTTGTGGTGTTGGTAGCCTGGTCTTTTCTCTCTTGACACATAAACTAACCGAGGAAGTTCATTTCCATCAAAGTCCCGTGCACCAGTCTCACCAAGGAAAACCTGTCGCCAAAAGCCAGGGGTGTGGTAAGAGTAAGCTTCACACGAAAGGGGATTGACACTCTAGCAAGGATCGACACACATCATAGTAGAGTCAGGAAAATGGAGCATCTTAGTAGAGTCTAGAAAAAAAGAACAACACCGTAGCAGTGAAATGTTAGTTCCGCAGAAACATAACTTCAATTCTTAACTGTAATTTGCAGTGGATCTATAAAAGTTAAATTTCAATCAGAGTGTTTTGAGTATTATAGTTGATAAATGTACCCCTGCACAATGAGACACAAGTAGCATACAGATAATGATCCATTTAACTAACACCATAGAATAAATAATATATTTGCAAGTTCAAGTGGAACAACACCTGACTAGGATGTTGCTGTTATTATCGTTTATTTATTTATTTATTTCGTGAGGGAAGGCATGCATGTTCAGTATTGACCAAGATGCAAGAAATATTTAGAACTTGATTATATCCTTAAAAAAACAACTACTCATATTATAAATTTCAGCAATCAGTTCTATACTAGAAGTAAAGTACCACCATGCAATAACTTTTAAAAAGTTTCCCAGTATGACCACAAATGTTCGTTCAAAAAAAAAGTATGACCACAAAAATCTCGCATGCTGATATTTCACTAGTAAAAGGGAAACTACCTGGATCATGCCAGGGTGGTCACGAGGATTGTTCCCAGGCCATGGTGTACCGTCTTGCATGATCCAGCCTTCCTCAGGTGTCTTCTGAGCCTTGGCAACCAAAGCATTTATCCTCACCTTGTACTCTTCATAGTCCCTCTGTGTAAACACAAGTACAAAACATTGTTTGTATAAAAACAAAAGGCATAGCCAGTAAAAATAATGAATGTTGTTCAATTATGCAACCAAGATCTACCTTCATAGCCCTACGCTCCTTGACAAAAGACGGATGTATCTTGTCCTTCAAGTAGTCAATTTTCTGCGAGAAGTAGAATTCAGGAGCTCGTGGCTCAATTGCGTACATCTTGCAAAATGGCACCCACTTTCTAGCAAATTCTGCAGTCTCTGCGAGTGATTCAAATGAGAGCATAGCAGAACCATCATCCGATACATAGCATGAGATCTTCTCAACAGGATAGTCCACAGCAAGAATAGACAGCACAGTGTTTGCAGTGATTAGTGGAGGTTCTTTCAGTGGATCCACTGTACTGACAAAGAAATCTACAGGCGCCAACCCAGACTCTTCACCATCTCCATATCTGTAGCAAACATGAGACGAGGCTTATCAGATACTGATGATTGCTGATGCATATATATAATCTTCTTATGTGCTAGTAGGCTCTAGCAAACATACCGTGCAGTCAGCCTATCAACGTAAGTCTCTCGATTGATAGGATACCACTTGGGGAATTGATCCAAGATCCAGGAGAAACCAAACCAGATCTCACATATTACTGATGTCATCCAGAGACCAAAGGCGCTGTTAACAGGATTGGTGATACGGTAGTGAAAGAAGAGCCCAAGAACTATTAACCGCATAATGATGACTGCTCTGTAAGGTGTGAGCTTGTTCTTTGATATTGGGATGACCCGGGAGAGTGGCTCATATGCATCTGTCAAGCTGCAAAATTGTTTGTTGTTACAACATGTACAGAGATAAAAACGTCACATTTTAGTGAAATTTATCACAAAGGCTTCTAACTTGAGATCCACACTAATAACCGGACCTATATATGAACCAACAAGGGATGAGATTGAGACCTTTCAGGCATCTTATAAAAAATTAGATGCAGATTTGAAAATATAGCGAAATAGGCTAGGATAGAGTTCACTTGTGCTAGATTGAACATAAAACCAGATCTTGGGAAATGCTAGTGGTACTAAATAAAGAATTGTCAATAGGCCAGGCTTAGTATCTGATTGAGGTGATGAGTTAGGTCAAAATGAGGCCTGATAATGAGACATGAAACATAAACATGTATGTTGCCATCCAGAATTAGTTGTGTTTTGGTTCACTAATTTCTCCTCCAGTATAGAGAAGTCCATGCTTTAATATCCTGTAAGAACAGTAACTACACGACACAGCAAGTTCAATTTCATCACATAAGTTCTGGGATCTAGTAAGATAAAACTAACTTTGACGTAAGGGAGATAATCTCAACGTTGCCGATTATATTAGAACAATGATCAGCTAGGAGCATTGTCAGCTTCATCTAATCAAGCATCATTTAACATTCACAGTTTCATTTATAATGTCACCCTATGCATAAAGGATAGATCCTCAACGAGTCATAAAAAAAGATCTATAAATGGACGCTTGATCCTTACTCCTTTTCATCCATGATCTGTTCTTCGACAGGTGGAGGCTGTGCTTTTGCTGCAGCCTTTTTGGCTGAGGCTTTCTTCTCATTCTTCTTTTCCTTCCAACTCTCCACCCTGTTCTTCCAGATGGGCTTGCCAGATTCATCATTCAATTCTGCAAATTCATAGTAAGGGTTGAAATTTCAGTACCCCACAGCATCAGAAGCAAATGAAACAGGACGTAGACTATAGCAAGTATCCTTACCACTACCAATTCCCGACAAGCTGCTCATGGTCCTGGCATGGCTTACTTCATCCTGTTCCAGCAAAACTCAGTTAATCCCACCTGCCACAATGTAAAAAATGCCAGAGTTTTCTAGAGATATCAATTGCAGTGCTACACAGAACCGAACAAGCAGAGAGGGGAAAACACCTGGCGATCACTGAGGTGGCTGCCCATGGTGACCCTCTCACGCAGGCCACCGGCGGCGTGGTGGTTCTCCACCTCCTCCTCCGCCTCGGCTCCCTCGTTGCCGTGCGCTGGAACAGAGAGCGGTCACATACACGTTAGCATTGCCTCCAGAAAACCGGCAAAAATTAAAAAAAAAAAGATTCTGAGCGACGGACCTGGGTCGATCGCGGCGTAGTCCCCGCCGCAGCGGGCGCATGTGGTGCGGCCCTCGGCGGCATCCTCGTCGAGGCACGCCCTGCAGAGCGCGTAGCTGCACGCGCGGCAGGCAGCGCGCGCGTCGTCCCCGCACGCGGCGCAGGCCTGGGCCGCCGCCGACTCCATCATGGCTCCGCCTCCTCACCCCGACGCGCGGCCTCGGGGATCCGCGTGTGCTAGTTGTGGGGCTCGGGGTGAGAGAATGGGGGAGAGAGAAGCTAAACGTGCCGGAGGTTGGAGGCGTGGTGATATAGCGGCAGCCCATGGTCGCTCGCGGGGTGATGCAGGCGGTGCGGTGAGGTGGCGCTGGCAGGCGGTGGGTGGAGTTGCGGCGTCGGCGTCGCATCGGCGGGTGGATGGAAAGAATGGAAGCAAAGGGTTGGGTGAGGGGAGGCGCCATGGGGCAGGAGAGGGAGGGGGCGTGCGTGCGTGCGTGCGTGCAGCAGGTGGTTTTTTTGCCGCGGGGTTTTGCGGGGTTTCGAAGCGAAGACGACGTCGACGGGTGATACAGCTTCCGCGGCGCGGGACGGGGCGTCGGCGCGTAACCTGGAAGACGAGCGGATGGGGGGTCGGGGCACGGGGTGGTTGGTAGGTTCCGTTGATGCGGTGGGGGTGGGTCCGCCGCTGCGGAAAGAGGGGGAGATCGCTCGCGCTGCCGGAGTGCCGGCGCTGGGGCGTCGTTTTTTCGACAGCCCGTTTTGCGAGCTCGTGACGGCGACCGACGGGCGGGACGCGACGCGAGGCTAGGGGAGACCTGCTTTCTATCGAAAATACTCTGCTCCTGAGATTGGGACCGGTTGTTTTTCACGCGTCCTCGTTGTACTCCTGGGGAAGTTGCGATGCCGCGGAACTCCGAAAATGGAGTTCTGGTAAAATGGCAACGGGGAATTTCCCGTCGAGGAATAAGCCACCATTCCCGTTCCCACGGGGGGAATTTTTCCCGTCCCCGTCCCCGCGAACAACCACGGGAAGCCTTTCTCCACCATCCCCGATCCCCGGCGGGGATTTTGTCCCCACGGGGATCCCCGTTCCGCATACATCAACACACACATGTATAAATCTTGCAAGGTTCATAGATTCACACTTGCATAAATCTAGCAAATGTTCATAGATTCATAAAAGATCATAGATTCATAAATCCTAGGATACTCATTAGTCTAATCAATCTAGCAACAACATAGTTCCAGCAACACACGCCAACACAGGTGTCCACTGTCCAGGCATCCAGGTCCAGGTGTCCAACACATAAGCATACACACAGGCACATACACACAAGAACAAACATAGTAGGCACATGACAGATTCATAAATTCTCCGTTGCCGTCTGTAGTCCACCTCTAGTTGGCCCTTGGCCGTCATGAAGTTCAGCCTTGCCAAAAGAACAGCTCTAGCTCCAAACTCAAAGGAGTGCAAGTCCATGCATACAACAAGCAACAATAGTCCCTCAATTTTGTGGCAACAAAGAGAGTTACAATGTATTGTCAATTAACAATTTTCAAATAATACCTCCATGCCATCTTGTATCTCTTGAAGACAAGTCCAAAAGGTGGTTGTTTCTTCATTGTCACCTAAAAAACAATTGCAAAACATGAATTAGCAATCATGATAATAGAAAATGTGTTCATAATGATATATAATTAGAACAACTTATAAACCTTTGTATTTGTTTCGAAGCCAATCTTGTGAACACATTAAGGCCTCCAATATCTCTAGAGTGAGCCGGCTGACGATGCTCACTAAGGACCCTTCCACTTGTGCTAAAAGCAGATTCAGATGCAACTGTAGTAACTGGAATAGCATAAATATCTCTTGCAATCTTCCTCAATGTGGGATAACGTGTTCCAGCCACCTTCCACCAATCAAGAATATTGAAGTTTTCAGTGTTGATTGGGACCAACTCATCATCCAAGTACCTATCTAGTTCAGATTTGAATCTTATTGCTGTTGGTCTCCTACTAGCAACTCATGCACTAATTGTAGATAGAACACCTAAATTTACAAGTGAAGCAGCTGTTGATTCTGTGTTATCTTCATCCTCTTCCACTTCATAATCCTTCATCAATTCATATAAAGAGATTTTCACCTCACTAACTTTCTCTAAACATTCTAAATGTGACTGACTAGTAAGGGTCTCAAGAAACCCAACCAAGAAATCAGTCTTAAACCGAGGATCAAGAATAGTGGCCAAGCCCATTGATTCTTGAATCTCCTTCCAGTACTTATCAAATTTCACTATCATTTCAAATGGCATTTGCTCTATAATAGGATTGCCACAAACAACCCACTGTCTAATCTGCTCTTTAGCCTCACAAATTTTTAGGAGTTGAATATTTGCAGTCACATAATTTGTTTCAAAAAATATTTCAGTAATGTCATTAAACAACTTGAGCCTACCAGCTACTTCCCTAGCAAATTCCCATTCTTCTTCACTAGGAGCACAATCAAATAACTTCTCAACACGTGTTGCACGGTTAAAACAGCCTTGTAAGGTAAAGCAATACTAAGCATCTTGTAGGTAGAATTCCACCTAGTTTTACAGGTCAAGACCTAATTTGTGTTCAGTTTTAACCTTGACATGCTTAGCAATCTCTTCAAATTTCTCTACTCTTTTAGGTGTGGCTGTCCAAAAGGCAACACTTTCATGAATTTTTGCAATTGAATTCTTTATAACCTCTAAACCATCATTGACAATCAAATTGAGAATATGGGCAGCACAGCGCATATGCAATAGTTTCCCCTCCAACATCAGCTTTGACTTGCCTATCTTCTTGACAAGTTCAGAAATTACCTTATCATTTGAGCTGTAATTATCCAAAGTCAAAGTTGAGATCTTTTCATCCAAATTCCACTCCACCAATGCTTCATAGAGCTCTTCACATATAACTACAGCCGTGTGTGGAGCGGGCACATATATGAACCTACATAGCAGTAGCAATAATCAAATTTAAATGACAGCAACAAGGTCTAAATACACATAACAACAGCATGATGTAAATATAAATGACAGCAGCAAGGTCCTACTAGGGAGTGCTTAGACTGCGTGAACAAAAACTACCAATACATGTACGAACAAAACTACGAAGGTACATTGTTCAGAGATTTGACTTCTGAGTTTCTGACCTTCCTTCTCCATCGGAGCTCATGGGCGATTCAGATCCAAGTGTATCCATGTTTCACTGTGGGTCCTCAACCAACCAAGAAAAATGAACTGCGTACTCCCTAATCCATGCAAAGAGACACAAGGTTTATACCGTTCAGGGCAATCGGTGCCCTACGTCCCGATCTAGGAGATCGATCTTGTATTCTCCTACCCGAGTGCTTGTAGTAGGGGGTTACAAGTCGGGTGAGAGAGGAGCTAGTCCTGGACTCGGCGTGAAGTGGTGCGGGCGCCTTAGACCTCGTTACCTCTCCGCACATGGGAGCGTGCGTGGAATTGAGTGAGTGCGGCTGGAGGGTGAGGGTCTCGATCCGAGTCTCGCCCAGCTCTGCACTTGGCCTTCCTTTATAGCCACAAGGAGGCCGGGTGGTGGATGAGAGATCCTTAGCGAGGCAAGGAAGATCTAGTATCGTGGGCCTATTCACAGAACTGCGATGTCTTGGCAATTGGTACTTGATCACTGGGTGCATCATGCCGGCCATGCCCGAATGTGAATGTCGTGAGTGGTCCTCGTTGATGTTTAATCAAGCATGGCCTCCTCTCAGGGTTGGTGCCTTGTGAATTTTTGACTTGGTGGTTCGAGAGATTAGGGTTTTGTGGCTGATTCTGATTTCTATATATATAGGTGACAAGCACCGATGGGCGGTCTAGATGGGCCGAATTGATAGCGGATCGGGTTTGCGGCGATGGGTTCGCAGCACGGTAGTCCCATCCCGTGCATTGGGGAATGGTAAAGGAGATTTGACGACCGTCGTCCATTCTACCATTTTGCTATTTGCCCTCGTCAATCGGGCGTGGAACCAATTCAATTGATCCCATCGGACGTCCCTAATAGGAGAATACCCAGGGGGAATCGGGGATCGGGGCCCGGCCTCGACCGATCTTTAAGTTCTAGGCTTTTGGCATTGGGAAAGGCCTCGCTAGCGGTCGCTCTCCGGTTTCCGAGACTACAACATGGATAAGTCATTCTAATTCTATTTGAGAGTAAAAACAGCTAAAGTTTGACGCAATTCATGTAACAAAATAATAACATTTATGATACTAAACAAGTATCGTTAAATTCTTTATTAATTATATTTTTATAGTATAACTATTTGATATTATAAATTTTTGTAATTCTCTCTATAATTTTGGTCAAATTTGGGATGTTTTAACTCTTAAAAGGTTAGAATGACTTATAATTTAGAATAAATTTTTGCAAGGTTTAATAATATGTTTCTTGCTTAACCCCTTCTTGCATGTATCCATGCATCCATGTCACATCATGCAGCTGCGCGGCGGGGATCCAAGGCTCGACGAGAGGCCGACTCAGCTGCTGGCTGCCATTGACGGCGAATTGGCCGACGGAGATGGAGTTTGTGAAGAAATCCGACGCTGGACCACAGGCCCCGCCGCCCTAGAGAGACTGGGAGAGAAAAATACTATTCCACCGAGGCAAAAATTTACGATCATTTATCCACAAGCACCACCGCAGCCTCAAAGCTGCCTTCTTTGGCGAACAAATGTGAATGTGAATGGATGCCAAGGGAACACAAATGCGGTTAACCGGATCGGTTGCCCAGTGACTCCGATAAGGGTTAACAACTGATATGGCCGTATGTCCTTATGCACACCTGATGTCGTGCCCTGACGAGAAATATAGTGGTACAAATCGAATTACAAAATCCACGAGACAATATACTCGATCATGGTGAAGCAAATGACGAGGACCATGTCATGTGACTGCGAGATGCGGTTATTTTGATCAGAGTAGTTGTATTAGTATTAAATACACTAGTGTACAGTTACACAAGCTGAGGCTCAATCTCTAATAGTCAGACAACAGTGAATGTTGTTTTTGACTTTGAGGGCATGTATCCCATGTGCATGCAGCATTAGACGTACATAGGGAGAGAGAGTTCTCTCTCCTACTCTGCACATGCATCCTCATGTGTATCAAAAATTTTCTAGGTTCCATAGCGATATGATATTC